GCCACTCCCTCGTGGGAGCTCGAGAAAACTTGTTGTAGTAGGAAGTTGAAAAGTTGTCGTGCTAAGACCCCATAGGGATCAGCGCACCAGAACAAGAATCGTCGCCTATGAAGAGTAGCGCGGATCAGAAGGATCCAACCTGAAGTCACGTGAACGTAGATGAACGATGATATCTTTGTACCAATATAAAAAGACCCAAGGGGCAGATCCAACAAATTTCAACCATCATACAATGTCAATCCAACGAACTATATTGCTTCAATGGTGAGGGCTCAACATGTTTAGCATGTAATTAATATCACATCAAATATCAATGTCTACATTATCACGTTCCTCTTGGACGGTGGTGAAAAAAGAAGCAAACAAAAGTTCACTCAAACAACAAAGGGCAGCAGGTTACGCCACGTGGGCACAAAACCCCCCGTTCCGACCTCATCCTGATATCCCCTCGCCACGAACCAACCATCCATCACAGGAGGTTCCGCTTCCTCGACAGAAACCAGGAAGCAGAGGAGCGGCTGAGGCGAGTCCTTCACCCCGATCCAGCCAAGATGGCATTCGCCGCCTCCACGGCCTGCTGCAAGCCGTCCGTGCTGCTGGCCCCTCGCGCCTCCTCCTCGTCGTCGTCCCAGGCGCGCCTCTGCAGGCCGTCCACCTCGGCCGCGTTCCACGGCCTCAGGGCGCCGGCGTCGGCATTCGCCCTCACGCCAGCGCCGCGCCGCCGCGCGGCCTCCACGGGCATCGTCTGCGGCAAGGTGCGTACGCATCCGGCATCCCGGCTAGCTATCTCGCGCGCTGGTGGCGAACTCGTGCGTGGGTGAACTGGTGACTGAAGTGGGTTGGGTTTTGGTGGTGCTTGGTTGGTTGGTTGCAGGTGAGCAAGGGCAGCGTGCCGCCCAACTTCACCCTCAAGGACCAGGACGGCAAGACGGTATCGCTCTCCAAGTTCAAGGGCAAGCCCGTCGTCCTCTACTTCTACCCCGCCGATGAGACGCCAGGCTGCACCAAACAGGTCAGTGCTTTTTTTTTTCTTTGGCAACAGTTTGTGCATCCATCAATTAATCAGTCCATCGACAAAGTAAGCAGTTTACAAAATGGGACTATTTACCACTTCATTCGTCGGCATGACTATGAATATTTAGAAGTCAAAATTTTACTTTAAAAAATAATAGTAATAGTACTTCCCCTCTCTACTACACTAGTATCAAAAACGTTCTTATATTATGGGACGGAAGGAATAATACTTTTGAACTTTATAATAGACCTTACAGAAAACAGAGTGTGTAAATCACACTATCAAGTTTAAAAGGGCGTGTCCAATAATTATTAGTGCTTAATACGGATTTGGGGCTCTAGTCCAGTTTAAATCACACTATCAAGTTGCAAGGGCGTGTCCCCGAAAAAAATAAGTATCAAGTAAGAAAATGCTGCCCAAAGACTTGGTTGACAGGCAGTTGTAGCTGACCTGGACTCTCCATTATTATTTTTAGGGCTATGGCTCAGTCGACTTAGAAATAGATATTTCTCAGTTGATACTGATTTCCGTCCAATTAAGAATTTATCATCCTCTTATACTTGCACAAATCTCAACGTTCTTGGCATGAACTTGGAAGTTGGAAATAGTCATTTCTCGCTCATTCAATAAATCACAAAAATCGTCTCCACATCATCGTCCACTAGGCAACAGACACATGCCACAAACTAAAACAAGAGGTGAGCTAGCAAACTGTCTTCCTCAAATTATCCACATCTCTCTACCTAACTATTGCCTCCTTCACCCTTCACATTGTCAATGCAACCTCCTTGGCAATTGCAGTTGCCTTCCTACTAGACATGGATGTTGCCACTTTGCATGGTTCCATCCTTTCTACGCTCTTCGGCTTCCTCCTTGCCCACTGCCATCCACCCTCCACCTCACGCCTCCCTCTCTTTCTCTCCTTTTCCACCGTCCTCATATAAGTCGCCGCTAGCTCTGTTCCTTTAGGGCATTAAGCGGCGTATGGCGCTGAAATGTCCCATTAGGCCATTTTCTAATCCTCGGGAGGAGTCAATATCGTCCATCCACCCTTCGTCACCATCTTAATTTTCTTTTCGAGCAACCGACAAGAACTCTACCTTTTCATTAAGAAGAACAAGAATGCACCGGATAATAAGGGAAATTAGCCAAAGTCGGTAATTATGCACACACCGAACCCAAGGTCACGCACGAGGCGAGCCGTCGGATGCGCCATCTGAGCAACTGAAACCGACACCCTACAACCAAATCCGACATCCACAACGGCCCCAAGACCGCGCACTAGACAGGTCGATGAATCAATCACCCAAGCAACAAGTAGAGGCGACACCCTACAACACCACGATGGTTTTTGTAGCCTTCGCTCTAACCTACAAACGAGAGCACAAACACACACCCCGACCCTGAGGCCACGCTCCAAACGAGCCACTGGCTCCATGCCCCGGGCCGGTCGGTCCCTCCTACTTCCTCACGTCCTTTACATTCCTCTTGCTCCTCCGGTTGGCTCCATCGTGCAATAATGATCTCCGCACAGATATTCACTCAGAAGATTATTCATTCTATTTTTTTTCCTTGTGCGGCAGATCATCATTTATATTTTCGATCGAGCCAGAGAATCTATTATGATTTAAATACAGTAATAGTTCTATTTATTTGCACTTGTTAATATATCAAATTTCGTCCAAATCAGATCATTCGCCAGAAGACATTCAGTCCTCTTGGTTCTGCCGGAGCTAGCTCACCACTTGGGTCTCGCATCCTTTCCAAACGCCATGGCTCCACCACCATCCAAGCTAGCCTCTCCTCCCCTAACCCCACTCCACGGCAACAAAAGCACCTTGCCATGACCATACCTTCCCAAGAAATCACCGAAGCAGCGACGCCGAGGAGGCAGCAGCCCATCGAAGAGGAGCTCGTCGGCAACGGAGGAGGGCGGACGTGCGAGCTGCCGACGTGGGCGCTGATCGGCGGCATCACGGTGGGCGTGGCGCTGGCGCTGTCGCTGTCGGTGGACGCTGGCCCGGCGATGGCGCTGGGGCCGGAGGGGCCGCTGCTGGAGGAGTTCTGGGACAACATGCGGCGGTACGGGCTGTACGCGCTGACGGTGAGCACGGGGTTCGCGTGGGCGCTGGTGCAGCCCATCTACGAGCTGCTGCGGAACCCCATCACCGCCGTGCTCATCATCGTGGTCATGGCCGGCGGCGCCGTGCTGACGGTCCAGGTCATCAACGCCATGGCCGGCAACTCCGACTTCGTCTACATGTACGAGCAGTAGCTATAGCTAGCTAGTTAGGGTATTTGTACGAAACATGCATGATTTTGAGAGTAATAAAGTGACACATATTAGATCAACACGTTGGGTCGATGAACTACGACATTGTTCTTTGGATGAACTGTGTATCTGCATGTGATAGTGATTGTTCTCAGTCCGTTGGATCCAATCTGAACGTGTAGGCGTGCGCGTTCCGGGACTCGTACGAGAAGTACAAGAAGGCGGGGGCGGAGGTGATCGGGATCAGCGGGGACGACGCGGCGTCGCACAAGGCGTTCGCCAAGAAGTACCGGCTGCCGTTCACGCTGCTGAGCGACGAGGGGAACAAGGTGCGCAAGGAGTGGGGGGTGCCGTCGGACCTCTTCGGGACGCTCCCCGGGAGGCAGACCTACGTGCTGGACAAGAAGGGCGTGGTGCAGTACATCTACAACAACCAGTTCCAGCCCGAGAAGCACATCGGCGAGACCCTCAAGATCATCCAGAACCTCTGAATCTGAACAACTTTTTCTCGAAGATTCTTTTCCCATATATCGATCGATCTCTGCCGCTGTAATCGTATGATATACTACTACTCGTGAACATGATCCCTGTGTAGAGCTGTTTTGATGTGTAATGCAATGTACTAGTGCGTACGTGTACCGCGTATGTTCAATCGTCTGGACAGTGCAGAAACGTAGTGGTGCCGTTGTCCAGTTCGCTGCCAGTGTGATGTGTCCAATTCTTCTTCAGGGACACCGTGTCCTTGGCTTATGCGTACCACGGGCGGCACCTGTAAAATTTACCACAGCTACCAGGTTATGCTGTACGACTCTTCTGGATAGGATAGGCCCCGGTAAAAATGCAACGCTGGCGTCGCCAGCAGGAACGCAGCCGGTATCGTGCACGGCACGGGGATATTACGGCGCTACGCCTGCCACGAACTAACCTGAACCTTCGTGGATGATAAGCTAATTTTTTTTTTTGAGACACGGATGATAAGCTAATGACAGGCCCTCGTGGACCAGGTGGCCGGCCATGCGCTCGGCGCTCACTGGTCCAGTGGCTACTGGTCACCGGGCGGCAACCGGGGGTGTGCAACGGCTCATCCTATCACCGAGCCGAAAGCCCCACCACCGTCCCGACCGAACCGGCTCGCATGGGCGGCGATATCGCTAGGCGCACCACGGGCTCACCGCTCACGCACACGATTCGTTTTACTCTGCCTTCGAACTCTGGCTACAACTCGTCAGGCTCAGTTTTTTTTTTTTTGTGAGGGTCGTCAGGCTCAGTTTTAGCGGTAACCCATAGCTGATCATGGACACAGATGCTTCGAATGAACAGCAACGTCAAAAAAAAAACCTGAGAATTTCGCACATTGAAGATGAACGAGTTTTCTAAAGGCGTGCAAAATTCCATGGCGATTCGAGATCGGAGGAGCTCAGGACAAGAAGAAGAAAATCGTTGCTCCAAAATAGAAATTGTCAACCTCTCTCAAAATGCCGATTTTCATTTTGACCAAAGATATTGTAAAAGAAAAACGGATTCAACAGTGAGTAGTGACATTGTTGTTCGGCAATATTCAATGTTGGTTTGTCTTTTTCATGCCTCACATCCCATGATGTGTTTGAGCTTGGAGTTTTGCATGGCAATAGAACATCGCCCTATTAATATCTCGTTTTTTAATTGAAGATGATGCATGATTATCTGGAATATGAATACATTGTGCTGCTTTAAATTTTCTATTTAGCTGATAAACACGAGCACGTGTGGATCATCAATAAAAAGAAATCATAACAGATAATTGTCCAACTCATTTGGGGAAACAAATTTGCACGCTCACGTATATGCATCTCCTCTCTTGCATAACAAAAAAAGTGTAGTTTTGATGTGGTTTTCAACCACTTTGTACTGGCAATATGGAAATGTTCGTCCCCCTCCCCCCCCCCCCCCTCTAACAACTAGTTTGCGGGCCCTTGGCCCCTCCGTCTGCCACTTTGGTGCGGGAGGGGAGGGGGTCTCAACAATTTTGCTCCGATGAGTAGATAGGATAGGCTTAGTCCCTAGAGGTGTTTCATCGACGGTGGGATAGGCACCGCGTCAAAATAAGATGGCTCTATTTCTCTCAAACCATGATGACACTTGAATCGGTGACGTCGAGAAGTGTCTCGTTGGGCTCTGTTCCAGTGATGTTAAGAAGTGGTGGCAGATGTTCGACATCCTCCTGGTCTCCTGGGCGACAGCATATCTTGTGCAGAGTGTGGGGTTGAGTTGGAGTGTGGGTGCAGATGATGTCTTGCTGCAGTGATCATCTTTTCCAACCATGTTGAATGAAGATGGCGGCATCAGGATCTGGCGGACTTGGGGACGATCCCTAACTGACGTGCCACAAAGACTCGGCTATGTGGCATGCAACAAGCTTTTTAATCAGCTCAAATAGGCAGCATACCTTGCAACAGAGCTCTTTCTGTGTGGCGGCAGAGCTCAATGATGGGCGACTAGCAGGTTTGGGCATAGGAACCTTCGAGTTCTCTTGGAATGATCCCATGTACAGTATGTAATTTGTTTGTTTTATCACAGTACAGACGCAGATGTTCATACATACAAATATACACTAACCATATGAACGCGCACACACACACACACACACACACACACACACACTAATCCCATGAGCACCTGCGAGAGATAAAGCCGTCACATCATCTTGAGATTAATGAAGTCACCATAGGCGCCTTCGTGGCCGACCGAAATGTCTCCTCCCAGTGAACGAGCATCACCCGAAAACCTGAATTAAATCCAGGAAAATGCGAGCAGTAATGTTAAGCCAAGGACCTAAACCTTTGGTGGTGTGCTAGTTTCGTCATAAAAAACCTAACCACCTGAGCTAGGCTCAGTTCGCACACTGTAATTTGTTTGTTAAACGAACATGAGCTAGTTCTTTAACAAAACAGAAGAGAAAAAACATGAAAAACATATGAATCAACGAGACCCTTGGTGCACGTAGCATATACCTCCACGAGACCTTCAAGGGAGGCCCACCCCCACCTTGCAACTGCAGTAGGAGGAGGAACAGTAATAACACCACAAAATTATTAAGAAGGAAAATAATATGGAAAATCCGGCATCCGGCGCGGGCTAATGCCACACTTACGGCCTAGATGCTCACGGAATCATCTACGGGAGGATGTGGAACCAGCTGATTGGTGCTCGTTTTTTCGCTTTGCGTGAATCGCGGCGCCCACTTGCTCTTTCGTTCCGCCACATCAGTCCGTAGCTAAGCTTTCAGTAAAACTTGCCCGTAAGTGTAGCATTACTGTCCGGCGCGGCATCTCCCCTAATCCCTCCCCGCCGATCCCCAGCATCTTCCGCCGATCCGCACCTTGGCCTCACCATCCAGCGGCCCAGATTTAATCACCCACCCTCCGCCTCCCCAACCTCCATTAAATACCTCCCTCTGCTCTCCACCTTCCTGCCCACCCCGCTCAATCGCTCCTCCCCCAGACGCAAGCAGAGCTGACACGAAGTGAGGAAGCCAAGAAACGCCGGCGATCGATCAAGATGGACATCCTGGAGCAGCCCCTGGAGGCCGTCGCCTTCCGCATCCACTCCCTCCCCGAGGTGGCCGCGGCGGGCGCGGCGGCGTGGACCTGCCTCGCCGCCGTCCTCGCCGCGGCCGCCGCTGCCGGCGTCTGGCGCCTGCGGTCCTCCACGCCGTCGTCCACTGTTATCGCCGAAGGATCCTCGAAGCCTTTGGAGCTGGATACGTCCCCGTTGTTGGTACCAGCGGAGACGGAGAGATCGCTGGGGAGCTGGAGATCGTCTGAGCCGACGATGTCGTCGTCGCTGCCGGCGCTGTCGCCCAGGGAGAGGTACACGGCGTACTACCACGACAGCGGCTGCGTCGGATGCTGCGACGTGGAGAGCGACGAGGAGGAGGAGGATCGGGATCCCGAAGATGACTACGGCGTGTACGGGCCGGCGGAGACGGATCCTTCCGAATGGGAGGTGGTGAGGTCACTGCCTCTCGCGGCGACAACTGCTACGGGAACGTGGCGGTACAAGAGCCCGAGGGCGCTCAGCGGCAGCGTGGTGCGGCTGTGGGATGAAGGCGCCGACGGGAGCTTCATGGCCGCCGCGGCGAGCCGGAGACGGAGGGGCAGAGCCGGCGCCGTGTCGAGCTTCTGATCACTCAAAGCCACTGTAGCATTGTTTCTTTCTTTTATTCTGGAAGAATGAGATTGGCAATAAACTGTAATCTTAGGTGGAAGCAAAATGTTTCCGTAGGTGAATTAGATAGCCGATGTACCCTGCACATATAATGTTTTCATCCAGTCAGATCAGTTATTGCTTGCAACTCCAGTTCCTCTGCTGGTGCTGGATGCCCAACGACACGCCTTGCTATCTGTGACACCTGTTGATTTGCAAATGCTAGTTAGGCCATTGGCAGTAACAGAGATGGCTACCAGTGAAGCCAAAAGCTTATTTCCCCATCACTGCAGCTTATTACTTGTTGACAGAATGCTCAGCTTATTACCTGACGTTTCCTGCTAGCTAATCACACATTCACACTGGAACACAGGATCTCTGGCTCAGCTGGGCACGACACGCAAGTTTCCCCCCATCATGCGATGATGTGCCTCACCTACCTCTGCACCCTTCCAGAAGGAAGGCCGGCCCTTTCTTTCTTGGCACTCTCCACTAGCAAAGCAGCAGCAGCAGACAGAGTGATCAATCAAGCAACCAGCCAGAGCCAGTCACCAACAAATTCACCACACGACATCGTGCCAGGACAGGACACGACTCCGTGAACGAACGCCACATGTCTCGTTCTCCGATCCGGATGACCGGCGCACGGTGCACGTAACCGTACGTCAAGCTGAAGTTGAAGCTGATGATGGTAATGGCAGCAGTAGCTGAGCCGCCACCGGACATTCGGACATGCGGTCCGTATGTCCGTTGCACCTACCGCGGCGCCCTGCAGTTAACGTTGCCATGGTTGGTGCGGGGGGCATCCGGTTGGGTGCGACATTACTGCGTACTACTCCCTCCGTTCGGAATTACTTGTCTCGGAAATGGATGTATCTATAACTAAAATGCGTCTAGATACATCAATTTCCGCGACAAGTAATTCCGAACGGAGGGAGTACGTACGTGTGCCTTTGCGGGCGCGCGCGGCTCGAGCTTGAAGTGAGGGTTCGGTCACGGGCTGACCGACCGGTGATAATTCCTGTGGCCCGCTTGACACCGACGGTGCGGGGCGGCGGCGGCATTCGTTGGCTCGTTCGGGCGGCGGCTTGTCCTGGCTCGGCCACGGTCGGGCGCCTTTCCGCCAGTGGTGTTTTAAACCCTGCGTGAATGGCCCAGGACGGACGGACGGACGGACGGTTGGTGGTCGGATCTCGTCTCGCGGTGCAGACCGGGCTCGCAGATGCGGTCTTTGTGGCTCTGGTTGCAGTGCCACGGTGGTTGTACTGGCGCTTTTTTGAGTGCTGGGCAGCTTTAATTACCTCGTGCCAGCATCACGTGATGGTGGCTGTTTTTTTTAGCTAAAACGGTCTTAGGACGTGCTGCCCCAGCCGTCACGTAGACTAATTATGGCTGAAATCACCGAATGAATTGATCACCGCCCAACGCAGGCTGTAGTAGTATTTTACCGAAGTGGGTCTTTACTCCTTTCCTCTCACTTTTTTGCTCCTTTCCCACCGAAGCAACCGGCTCTTCTGCAGGAAGCACCTACCACCTGCAGGGCTGCACCTTTGCATCCATCTGGCATCCGAGCCTACATGGATAGGCGAGACACCGGTCCAAGTTGGAGCGATGGCCATGCCCTTAGGCGCTAGCATGTCTGACCAGTCAGCCATCCAGGGATTATATCATACACAAGCATAGATACAAAAAGCCTTAAACCATGCCTAGCTACACGGTGGGCTGCCGAATTAGTCTGACGGCTAGCAAACTGTAGCTTGAATCCCTGGAAAAAAAAGTACTCATCTCCTGCATTTCTCTGATAAGATGGAAACAACTCAACTTCTGTGGTATTTCCCAGAGGCTTTGAATCTGTTGACAGTCTGTCTCCACCTCAAGATACTGAAGCCCCATATTCTGCGCTATTACTAGCGCATCTCTGCATGCCAGTAGCTCGATCGTGAGGGCATCAGTAACCCCTCGTATCATGAGCATCCAGCTCTCACGAAAGACCCATGGTGGTCACGGACGACGAAGCCCGCGCCTCCTTGGCCATGCTCTGAATCCGTAGCTCCATCTGTGTTGATTTTGACCCACCCTACATCACGTGGCTGCCCTCTTGGTTGGGTGATAGGCTGGGGTTTGACGTTTGCTGGAACTTCGAGAGCTCGGACAATCTCTTCAATGGTAATGATGGATTGCATGGGTTGATACTCCTGCTCTCCATGTGTATGGTTGTTTCTTGAATGCCACACCGCCCACATCAGTGTGACCATGATTGCCGCCGCATCCTTCTTGATCATATTATGGTCAAGTATATCGCAAGTCCATGTAAGTGGATTGAGCATCGGTGTATCTATAGCAAAATAACGCTCAGACGCCTCCCAGAAGCGTCGAGCATGGTCGCACTCCATCAATGAATGAAACAAAGTTCCATTTTCATGGCCGCATATTGGACAGTTCGGTAGCTGCCTGATGTGTCTACGCTGAAGTTCGCCGTAGCAAGGTAGGGAACCCTTTAGCACCTGCCACCAGAGTAACCGAATCTTGGGAAGGACATTAAGCTTCCAAAGAGCTCGTCATGTTCCTTCCTTACCAACAGATGTACCCTCCGTCTCCATCAGCTGTAGTTTTGCTTCCATTGTATGCATGTAAGCTGAACATACAGTAAACACGCCGGACTTCTCCCAAGCCCATGCCCAAATGTCTGGCCCCCCTGTCCGCGGTCTCGGCATGGACAAAATTGCATCTGCACCAGGGGGATAAAATACATACCTGATAATCTCCGTCTCCCATTGGTTTGGCACTAGGTCAATTAAGCTGAGACTAGCTAAATTGAGTTCGGCTTAAGAGCTCCCATTGGTTTCATGGAAGTGGTTCCGTCTATCCAGTGATCATGCCAAACCTCGGCCACTGTCCCATCTCCCACTCGCCGAATGAGCCCCGTCTTGAGCATCTCCCTCCCTTTTATAGTAGCTTTCCAGGTTTTAGATGCACTTGCAGGGCACCCGACTGTAAGGAAATCCTCATTTGAGAAATATCTACCCTTTAGCACATGAGCACACAAGCTGTTTGGATTCTCAAGTATTCTCCATGCTTGTTTGGCTAGCATCGCGTCATTGAAGGTCTCAAAGTGACGAAATCTGAGTCCTCCTTTCGACTTTGCAATTCACATTTTCTCCCAAGATTGCCAATGCATTCCCTTTTTATCTAGTGATCTAGCCCACCAATATTTTGACATATTCGTCGCTAGTTTCTTGCACAAGCCTTTTGTGAGTTTGAAACAACTCATAGAGAAGGCCAGTAGAGCTTGGATCACTAATTTCAAGAGAACTTCTTTTGCAGGACTTGACATCTTCGTCTCACACCACCCCTGCACCTTCGCCCGCGATCGCTCATTGATGTGTTCAAACTTATGCTCCGTGATTCTGCCAGTCGTCGTGGGGAGACCAAGGTATTTCTCCGACATAGCCTCATGATGTATCTAGAGAGCAGTTTTGACACCCCTCCTTACTGAAGCCCCACTGTTAGGGTTGAAAAATACATAACTCTTCATTTTATTAGCACTCTATTCGGAGCCCACACTATATTGTTCAAGTATCTCATTCAATCTAGTGTCACTTCTACAATCAGCCTTCATGAAGATCAAACAATCATCCACGAATAAAAGATGCAAGATCCATGGGGGCAGTATTACTGACTCTGATGCCCCTATCAATCCACGCTTCATCATAGTTTTGCAACATACAGGAGAGGCCCTCCCCACATAGGAGAAACAAGTAGGGCGATATGGGATCTCCCTGTCGGAATCCTCTTGAGGGCAAGAAAGCCGGCAACAACTCACCATTAACCTTCACTTGGAAACTTACGGTGGTCATAACAAGTGATATACAGTGTTCATGAAAGCCAAGTTGATGCATTATTCCTTGCAAGTATGCCCATACTACTCGGTCATACACCTTAATCATATCGATTTTAACTGCACACCATCCTTGTTTCCCCCTTTTCCTCCTCATGGAATGGATACACTCATAGGTAATCTTCCTGGGACGAAAGCACTCCGTTCCTCTGCAATTATCTCATCAAGGATCTCCCGGTTAGCTAGAACTTTGGAACATATTTTATAAAGAACATTGCCCAGAGAAATTGGCCTATATTCTGTGATATTCTGCAGGTTTCTCACCTCAGGTATAAGCACAATGACCGTATTGTTCACCTCATTAGGCATTTGTACTCCATTTAGAAAATTGAGGACATCCAAAGTAACATCTGGGACTATCAACTCCCAATGATTCGGATAGAAGCCAGCATGGAAGCCATCACATCCCGGTGCCTTCGTAGGCCACATAGCAAACAAAGCAGCCTTTACTTCCTCCTCTTTGAACGGCCTCACGAGTCGTTCATTCATAGCATCTGTAATTTTATGCGGCACATGATGAAGAACTGCGTCTACTTCTGTGTGTTCTTGCGCCGTGTACAAGCCAGTGTAAAACTGCTGCACCTCAACGTGTATCTCTTCCTTGGTCTCACATAGCGAACCATCTGCAGCTCGGAGACTACGTATACGGTTCCTACTCTTGCGGGCTGCCACACGTGCTTGGAAAAAACCAGTATTGCGGTCGCTTGCTTTTAGCCAGTCCGCCCTCGATCTCTGATGAGCCATGATTTCTTCTTTGTGCAGGAGATCAGAGAGTTTCCCGGCTAAGTCTTTCTCCTTCCCTGTCGGTCCCCTAAATAAGGAATGTGACCTTTCTTTCTCATATTCCTTTCGTATCTTCTTGATCTTTCTTTTCACGATGCCAAACTTCTTAATTTTCCAGTCCGTAAGGTGAACTTGCATTGGTGACAGGGCCTCTCCTACCCCTTGCAAGCCTTGTGACCCCGCACCCTGGCGCCAGCCTTGCAACAATGTATCATTATACGTTTCATCCGTTTGCCACGCTTCCTCGTATATGAACCTGCATCTCCTTTCATCTACCTCAGGTGGTAATCTCTACATC